GCTAAAACATTAAAATACCACGTACCAGCGTATCGTCCCACTGGCCTTCATCCGGATGTTGGTAACAAACAGACAGAATCAAGCAATACAAAACAATAGTGGTATTGTTTTCAGGTGTGCCACTCTGGCACTTGCAACACAATTTTTGGCCACTAGAGGCAATAGTTCAGGTCATGTCTAATGCCAGAGGTTAAATTATACAAGTACAACGAAGTGGAAAAATAGGAGTGACACCACTACAAACATCTAGTGTACTCTACCATATATGTACCAAAAGTCAATAAATGTGAATAGGCTAGTTAACCATCATAATTCTTTCAAATTTCATAGTCAAGATGGTTCATGGAGCCATGGCCCAAGAACCATGGTACAAACTGGTGTGACCACAAGCTGGCAAATGACTACAACATAAGCTGATGTATTTGAGTTTCTAAATGCCTGATTAGGTTTATGAAAACTGCAGCATATAGCTTCAGATAATTTACACAGAAATACAATTTTCTTATTAAACAGATACTGATGGTTTGACAGGAGAGATGCTGCTCATTGATGAACACACTAGAGTTTTGATGTAACCAAGTGCAATAAACCCTATCAATGTTGTTTGTCTGAAGAGTGTCAACATACTTGCTACATGTCTCTAATTTGTTCTCCGGAGACACTAGACAGACCCTGAAGATTGTACTGATGGGAAACCAGACCTTAGAGAATTGTCACTCAGTGATGAAGTAAATAAGTGACAACACCCAATTATGTAGACAATGACACTCAAACCAATTTGTCTTAAAATGTCTCTGACTTTAAAGTATAAAATTTTTCACGAAGATAATGCAATGTGCTTACTAAACATTAAGATAAGAACCGTAGACACTTGTTTTTTATGGTTTTTTATAACAAAATGCTGCATTCTGTCACGGTGTTGTGCTGGTTGAAGGAGAGACTGATAGCCTGGTTAAAACCAGACCATTCTCAGTTGTAACTGAGCTGCGGGTAGACCTAAAACCAATCAGAGCGATGAAGGAGATGACGTATGCAAAGCGGCGGCCGGCGGAGAAACATCTCCGAGCATTGTTCTTCGGTTTTTAGCAAAAAGGAAACGTTCAAAAAGAGTACCGATCCACCAAGCATTTCCATCGAACAAACAAAACTGAAGGTTGTCCACCATTTCAGCTACTTTGGGTGTATCTGACACCAAGATCGCAAAAGAAGTTGACAACAGGCTGGCCAAGGCAAACAGAGCCTTTAGACTATACGAACCTGTCTGGAATAACAACAACCTAAAAAAAGACACAAAGGTCAGTATATACAAAGATGTTGTGCTGACCACTCTTGCTGTATAGCGCTGAGTCCTGGGTCACGTACCGCCATCACTCCTTGAGCGCTTCCATCAGCCTCCGCACAATCCTCAACATTGGTTGGAATGACTTTGTCGCCAACTCTGAAGTCCTCGAGTTAGCGGAGGTCACCAGCACCGAGGCTATGGTCCTCAAAGTACAACTTCTCTGGGCAGGGCACGTTTTCAGGATGAAGAACCATCGCCTATCCAAGATCATGCTGTATGGGGAATTGTCCTCTGGCTACCGCAACATCAGGTCACCACGAAAGAGGTACAAAGACTCCCTGAAGAAGTCCCTCACCGCTTGCTGCATCGATTACCGTCAACGGGAAAGACAAGCAGCTGATCGCGACTCCTGGCGGCGCACAGTCCATCAGGCCACTTCCCTCTTTGAAGATACCAGCAGGGCCAGTATGGAGGACAAAAGGAGAAGAAGAAAGAACCGTGTCCCCATCCTGGACCAGACCTTTACCTGCAGCTATTGTGGCAGGACCTGCCTGTCTCGCATAGGCCTCATCAGCCACCAGCGTGCCTGTAGAAAACATGGATGTCCTTCCTAAATCTTCGTTCATTCGAGAAGCCAAGCCATGAAGTTATGACTGTCATGGTTGTCATGTCATCCATGTATGCTCTGATTGGTGTTAGTCGCATCCCAGGAGCCAACTACCCATCTTGATGCCCAACTGATTAGTTCCATTGCCATGGTAAAAGCCAGTGGAGAAATGGAGCATCCTGCCATTATTCCAATCTCTAAGCATTGCCATGTAGTGCTGAATTCTGGAGTTGAAAAACTAAATTGCAAATCTCCAAAATAGGCTTTCACTAAATTTGCTATTGACATTGGTACTCTGAAAAAATCAGATGCTCCCCAAAGAAGCTCATGTGGCACTGAACTAGCCTGGATGCCAGCCCGAACTCCGCCCACAACATTTTTTGGTCGGGAAGTTCGGTCTGGACTCGATCCATTGAGGAGTAATTATGATCAGGCAAAAAATGATCGGGCCAATCAAATTGCCAGGGCGGGCTTTATACGATGATGGACAGATGATCTGCAGGGACGTAATGCAGCTGGGGAATTGAGATGTATAGATTCCGCTGTCGCGTCTTTTGTAAAATAAATCGACAGCACATTCATTTTAATAGACAAACAGAGAACTGCAATCAAGGCATTTGTCGATTGGAAAGATATTTTTGCCGTCCTTCCTATATGATTCGGGAAAAGTGGCTCTGACGGTCGTTAAGAAGATGAAAAGCCGGAGGTCGTTGTGGTTTCTCCTTGGTGGCACTCATGGAGTAGTAAGTAAAAGAAGCAACACTCGTTATTTAACTTCTAAAATAAATAAAGTTAGGCTACGTTCTGTATTTGAAAACTGTGCTATGCAAAGGAGTTGACTTCCTGTGTTGCTCTGATTGGTTGTAGGTCTACCGACTATCCAATTGAGTGCAGAGGTTTTTTTTTCCTAGTTCGGTTACGACACGCCTCATAATCAAAGCCCAACGGAGGAGTTTCAGATTCATATTCTCTCTTGAATATGAGTATGACGAAGTCAGGCTAGCACTGAACCATATGCATTAGCCAAATCTAGGAATGTCACATGGAGCTCCTTCCTCTCCTTTTAAGCTTTTTCTTTAGGTATAAAGACTCCACCTGCTCTGCGCCATGCTCTTGGTACAACCAGTTTTTTCCCATGCTACTTTTATCAATTTCCACAGAATTCGTAGAACTCCTGTACCACTCTTGTACACTCTGTACTGAACTCCATTAGGACCTGGAGATGATGAAGCCCTTGCCTTTCTCACAGCCTGCTCTACCTCTTTCCACTTAGGTGCACAGACATCCATTTGGTATTCTGGTGGATTGATAAGGGGAATGTCTGATGGAACTGACAAATATCTCTCTAGCTCAACCCTAGATGCTTTTAAAATGCCATTCTTCTCACTGGTGAAAAACTTCTTTACAAATTTGAAAGGGTCTTATAGAAATTAGCCCCTGCACGTTCCTTCTTTTTGTAGCGTTTCCGTAGGCGCTCAACTCTGCGTAATGTTGCCAGCTTATCTTTTATGGCCCTCTGTAAGAGATTGAGTCCCTCCTTCTGACTTTGTTCTGCTCTTTTCCATTGCTTCCTCAGCTGTCTTCTTTCTCTAACTAACCCTTCAATTTATAATTAATAAAGATATATCTTAAATATATGCATGTATGTGAATAACGATTTAGTAACTTTGTCTTTTACGTAAATGATGGGCCTCGGGAATCAGATTAACGCCTCTCAACCAGGATAGGTAATATTCGGCAGACCAAAAAATAAGGATAGCTCCTGTAGAAATACTCATTTGTACATATTAATGCACAATTTCTTGTGTTATCCCGTGTGAATTAAGGGATGAAAAAATCAACAGTACATTAACTTTTTTTGTTTTGTTTTCCCAGTTAAGCAATAAATTATATATTATTCAATTTTATAAAACGGTTAGTTCCAATCCTTGATTCTAATTGGTCAATAGCTGTGCTTTAATCACGATAAAGCACGGCCATGACCGCCTCACCCAAACAGTTCTTTTTATCACTGCGCAACACTGCAGTTCCTATGTTGTGTTTATTTGAGCTTTCCTGCATATTACACATTGGAACGTTGTTTCTGGTCATGGTCAGGGACTATTTTTTACTGATCCAACTTCATGAAAGTTGCTTCAATATTTTATTGTGTGGTAGCCCAGCCCTAACCATTTTATAAAAGCAAAGAGGCAAGTGCTGTATTGTGAATAAGTAACAGCTGGAGGGCGTTGTTAGGCACACCACGAAGCGGATTCACGATACACGATACTTCACGATGTGAAGCGGTTACCTATTCACGGTACAGCACAGCCTCTCGTACCTTATTGCTTACGCAAACAGTTAACTTTGTTTGTCTGAAAAGTGTCGACATTCATGCTACATGCCCTTAATTTGTTCTCTGGAGTAACCAGACCGACCCTAAAGATTGTACGCATGGGAAACCAAACCTGAGAGAATCATCACTTAGGAATCCAATAGATAAGTGACAACACCAATTAATGTAGGTACTGACACGCACACTGGAAAACCCATGAGATATGATGAAAGTCCTGTATCACTCTTAAAGATGACATCAACTTTGATATTTTAAAAATTTTCACAAATACATTTGTAGAAAATAATATAATTTCATAAGCATCTTTAAGAAACTTTTTTTTAGAAACATTTCAATTGGGTTAAAACAATAACCTCAGGAATGGTATATTTGACTAAAATAATGAAACAAAATAAAAGAAATGGTGACCAGTCTAAATACTGTCCAAATATCTGAGACCACAAGAGAACATATTTCTCCTTTCATGTCTGTAATTTGTAGCATTCCAATTTGAGTAAAAAGTTACATTTAAAAAAAAAACACAAATTTCAGAGTTCTTGGTTTTCGGCATGTTATTGTTTTGCTTTAAAGGCAGCAGAACTTGAGCTGACACGAGGCCTGTAGAAGACTTCATGAGCTATGAGTGACATCCAGTCCCTAAAGCCACCCTGACCCCGTCATCATCTAAGAAAAAAAGGTGTGTGACTGGACTGATTCCCAACGACACTACATAACAGTGAACACTACAATATATAAGTGATACACAATAATGTATTTGTCACCATTTAGGGTAAAGAGTCAATATACCAGGTGTGAATCCGTGTCTTGCCGTTTATTGATAATGAATTTATTGACATAATCATGCCATAAACATTCAACCTTAATACTTTTTTTAAACGTCTGTCTGTTTTTAGAAAATATTGTAAATATATTTATTTATTATTTAAATCAGAAATTGGCATTTTAACAATGTTTAATATTTCTTTTAACAAATGTTTAATTCAGATTATATTATAAATCTTATTGTTATGCTATATGAATCATTTTTGTCTTACAATCTCTGCAGATTTTGCAAAATGCTTCAGACGAACTGGACGACAATCACTGAGTTTATCATCGTGGGCTTCCCTGGACTGCATCCGGACTACTATGGCCTGGTCGCTGCTATTTTCTTCATCGTCTACACGACCACAGTGGCCGGGAACACTGTTTTTCTGGTGCTGTTTTTCACTTCGCAGAGCCTCAGGAAGCCTATGTACATTATCCTTGCAAGCCTGGCAATATCTGATACGTGTTTCTCCACAGTTGCCCTACCTAAGATAATATCCAGGTACTTGTTTGATGCGGGAGCATCCCCTTTCCATGCTTGCTTCTTCCAAATGGAACTAATCCACTATTTTGGGACATTAAACTCACTGATAATGATGATCATGGCCCTTGACCGCTATGTGGCTATCTGTTATTCTCTGAGATACCAGGCTATTATGACTAATCGCATCACGTACATCATAAACGTAACGGCTTGGGTAACTGCTTTGATCGCTCCCACGATAGCCACCCTACACACTCAACAGCTTCCTTACTGTGGGCCTAAACTGATCATTCAGTGCTATTGTGACCACATCTCTATTACTAACCTGGCCTGTGCTGACAACAGCAAGCAGATTTTGGTGGCCCTGTGCGTGGCCCTACTCGTGCTTCTCCTTCCTCTAGCCTTCATCATTTACTCTTACGGTCACATCATAACATCTGTCATGAAGCTGTCGAGCTCTCAGAGTCGCTGGAAAAGTTTTGCCACCTGCAGCACGCAGCTGTGCATCACCGCCCTGTTTTACATGCCTCGTTGTGCAGTGTATATTGCCAGTTTCCTGCAAATCCAAATCAGCAAAGATTTCAGGATAGTTCTCATTCTGCTCTACAGCCTCGTTCCACCAATGATAAACCCCTTCATTTACTGTTTACGTACACAGGAGATCAGAAACATTGTGAGCAGGTGGTTTAGCAGACAAAGGGCCATGAGACACACGTCTATAATTAATGTGATCACACAGTAAAATATTAAATTCGTGGGATGTGTAATTGTTTTTTATGTTCATCTTAATTGTTTTATTTTGATATTTTGTTCCAGTGAAATCTGGTGGTGACGATGCAATAAAAAACAACTCAAAATATCTGCTCTTTTATGAATGGCAGCATTAATAAAACCAGCTCCCTTTTTTTTATATAACAAACCTGTTAACACAAAGTAAGTTATAGAGGGGGTTTTTTTACACTAAATATTTCGGCTTAAATTTTAGGTTTATCCAGTTGAATTGCACATACAAATTTCATCCATTTGGATAACACCGTTTTAACGAAGCAAATAATAAACTTGATGTGTCGTGCAACATTTTTCGATTAATTAAAATGTTTGATATTTAAACAAATTGGATTTATTGAGATAAATATCTGCATAAAAACCTGGTTATTGTTTATTTAAAACACAGCCAGTTTGGTAGTAGTTACAGAATTTATATAAGCATTTCATTAAGTTTATTGGTTTATATTAAATCTCTGTAATCCAAATTAATATGTAATATGTTTTTCAAATCTATAAACCTTAAATTTAGGCTTAAATACTTTTTTTGAGTGCAGAAGTGCCATAATATGTTGTCCCCAAGGATCTAAGCATTTAGTCTGGAAAAATGTGTCACAATGAAAAAAGAGCTGTTGAAAAGCCTTGTCTGTGCATTAAATTAATGACAGTTAACTACTAAATGATAATAAACTGATTAACTAATAAACTTTGTGTTCTTGTTGTCATGATTGTCCTTTAACTTTTTAAGGGGAAAGTATTTTTCCTGAGGTCAATGAATCACTGCCAAGGATTACTGTTGCTGGGAATCCTAGTTTGGGAAAACCTGGCCAATGTATAGTGTATATATATATATTGACCTTTCCTCATGATTCTATGTCACTAACCTCTTTATATGAAGTTATGGCCTAAAGGTTAGAGAATTGGACTTGTTACCCGAAGGTTTAGGGTTAAATTTCAGGACAGGATTGCTCCCTGGTCACAACTGTGAGAGTGTGTGTGTGTGTGTGTGTATTAAATGCATTTCCTGTGTTTTATCCCAGGGGATTCAGGTAACAAAAACAGATTGATCTGCATTAATTTACTTGCACCACCTGCTGGTGACCTTTGAAGATGTAGATAAAAGGAGTATTAAAAAACATAGGCTATACAAACATAAGCACTCAGGCAACCTCAACCTATAAACCCCAAAGGTCAGCCCAGTTTCACAACACCAAATAATTCAAAACATGATCCTTCATGACGTGCTGGACCCTACAGGCTTTAACACCGATTGTACGCCTATAAAACAATGAAAGCAAAAGGCTCTGCACGAAACTGACACTGAGACACACAGATGTTACATAACTTAACAGAGGAATAATCAAGGTAATCATGTGATCAACTGAAATACAAACAAAATTACATTTAGATTTTTGCAAATATTTGAAATCAAAGAATGTGTAAATAATTTAAAGAAAATTCCTTCATCTATATTAATAACTAAATAATGTTCTATAATTAATGTACATTTTACATGTTTTATGAAAAATAATATTATTAAATTATATATTTTATCATTTACAATCTTTTATAATTGCATAAGTGAACTTAATTTAAATAATTATAAATTATTTATTATATTGTATTTTTTTAAATGTTAAATGTAGTTAAGAATAATTTTAACTTCAAGAAAATACATTCAAAAAAACAAATTGATCAAATCAAAGCCATTTTTACAAGATATTTTCATGTGTAAAAGGCAGATGCATTTGGTTGTTTTGTAAACAGATGTTAACTGTATGTTTTAGTATGTCACAGGCAAACGAAACCGCAGCTTCTGTCGTAACCGAGTTTTTCATCGTGGGCTTCCCTGGACTTCCACCCAAATACTACAGCCTGATGGCAGCATTTTTGCTCTGCATCTACATCGCTGTACTCACTGGAAACTCTCTCATTGTGGTCCTGTTTGTGACTGAACGCAGCCTCTTTAAGCCTATGTATATTATCTTGCTGAGTTTGTCCTTGTCTGATATTGGTTTTTGCACAGTTGCTCTGCCAAAAGTCATTTCTCGCTACTGGTTTAATGACGGTTATATTCCCTTCTACGTTTGTCTGTTTCAAAGGCAGCTGATTCACTATTTTGGGACCCTAAACTCTCTTATTATGATGATCATGGCTCTAGATCGGTACTTGGCGATCTGTTACCCACTAAGATACTCTGTTTTAATGACTAACCGCACTATGAGACTTTTAATAGGGCTTTCCTGGGTTACTGCAATGATTGCCCCACTCATCAGTACAATTCTAACAACAAAACTGCCATTCTGTGGACCAAATATGATCGTTCATTGCTTCTGTGACGCTGTGTCCATGAACCTGCTCGCCTGTGCTGATTCCAGACAAGCAAACCTCATTACCTATGGTATAGCAATGTTTGTGCTTCTCGTCCCATTCTCTTTCATCATCTTTTCATATGTATGTATCCTGGTGTCTGTGCTTCGAATAGCAAATGCACAGGGTCGTAGGAAAGCCTTTTCTACCTGTGCCACACAGCTGACTATCATTGTTATCTATTATGTGCCACGTTTCATTGTTTACTCCAGTACTGCCATCCCGAACACTCAAATAAACATCAGTCAGAGCATCGCCATGGTCATGTTCTACAGTCTGCTTCCACCGCTTATGAACCCCTTCATCTACTGCATCAGGATTAAAGAAGTCAGACAGTTCTTTCTCAAATGGTGTGTCCAGAAAAACAGGATGATTCTAAAAGTCCATAATTTAACTATTTCTAAATGAGATCATCTGCCTATACCTGTTCTGATGTATCCCATTAAACGCTGTGTTTATGCATTTACAATATTTGTTAATAAAGTTATATATATATATATATGAAGAGTTCAGATGCAAAAGCCTCTAAGTGACATTTGAAATTTTCTTCTAGAATGATCATTTTTATCAAACTTGTATATTTAAGTTCAGTGATTTCACTTAAATGGCATTGATAATTACCTATTAATTGTTATTTAAGTGAAATTACTGAAATTAAATATACAAGCTTGATAAAAATCATTATTAAAGAAGAAAATTTCAAATGGCATTTAGAGGCTTTTGCATCTGAACTCTTCATATATATATATATATATATGAAGAGTTCAGATGCAAAAGCCTCTAAGTGCCATTTGAAATTTTCTTCTAAAATGATCATTTTTATAAAGCTTGTATATTTAAGTTCAGTAATTTCACTTAAATGGCAATGAAGATTACTTATTAATTGTCATTTAAGTGAAATTACTGAACTTAAATATACAAGCTGAATAAAAATGGTAATTTTAGAAGAAAATTTCAAATGGCATTTAGAGGCTTTTGCATCTGAACTCTTCATATATATATATATATATATATATATATATACTGTATATATATATATAAAACTATAACTAATATTGAAATTGCATATAAACAGCATGTAATGTAATACATCAAAATAGGACATTTTATATATACATACAGTACATACATTCATACATACATAATGTATATATATATATACACAGTATATACACAAACACATATTATAGCCTATATGTATTTATATTTATCCAATTTTTAATAAAAAAAACATGGAATATTTGTTTCATTTGTCACACTGCAGGCACATTTTTCAACTATAATATATTTTAATTATAAATAAATCATACAACTCCAACTAAATGTGCATGCAGTTTTTGTTGTTTCATTAGATTAGTATTAGTAACATGTTCTATTATTTTATTTACGCGGGTCTTGGCAACGAATGATTTTACATTTTCAATAGCATTTCTCATAAATAAAAAGCAAAAGCCAGTTAAAATTGTGATCATTTACTCACTTCTTAGCCAAAAGTCACACTATCGAACTGGTCAATTTAAAATAACGTCACACTTCATTTTAGTCGATGTGCATGACAGTGTCCTTCTGAACTATGAATTACTGAGATAGATTCTTACCAAAGACTATACATATAGAAAATTTTACATCATGATTATGGTGACCAAAATTATCACAATTTTCAGTATTATCACAGTTTTGTTAAAATGAGATGAAAATGTTCAAAAAGAACTGAAAACATTTCAACGTCACATTCAAATACACATTTCCAGACACGTTCAGTACGGTAATGTTACTTCCTACGATCTTACAGTTACACTGAAATGAGCATGGAGCATTAGTTCAGTCAAGCTGATAAAGGTAGCCTATTATTGTAACGTTGCAGTGGGAGTTTACATGAGTTTCCAGCATGTTGTGTGATGCTTTCTCTGCTGTGTTGAAAGTCTCAGTTTCAGTGTGGCCGTGTATGAGTGTTCGCTCTTGTGTACGAGCACGCGCAAGAGCACAAGCACTCTTGTAAAAAAAAGGTTGCAATCTGAAACATCACCGATAGAGGCCGCTAAAAAATCCATATAGCACCTTTAAAGGTGCAGTGTGTGATTTTTAGTGACATCTAGCGGTTCGGTTGCGAGTTTGCACTAAAGGCTCCGCCCACTGCTCACCCCTCCCTTTCGAAGAAGCTACGGTGGCTTAAACGGGACAAACAAACAAATCTCGTCGCCTGAGACAGCAGAGAATAGCCAGAGTAAGCCAAGAGTGTGTAACACTGCCACTGTTTCTGTACCACAGTCCATTATAAACCACATCATGGATAAAGTTTACAAAGCCATAGTCAGGTGAGGGTCTGTAAAAAATATTGTTGGTTTAACTTAAAGTAAGTAGCCTGGTTGCCTTAAAATTTTAAGTTGATTGAGTTAATACAATGAAGGGGATTGATTTAATCATCAGAAACTCAAAATAATAAGTTATCACAACTAAATAAATTATTTAAGTTGATTTGACAAAAGAAAAAATGTTGTGGTAACAAATCTTGAAATGTTTTTTTACAGTGTACAATATAATAGTAATCAGCTGATTGTCTCAAAAACGTAACCAGCACATTTCTCCCCACATAGCAAACCCATAATA